GGGGGGGGGGGGGGGGGGGGGGGGGTGTAGTGGGCTACACGCTCAGCAGTGGACCTAGAAGTGGACCAGAAGTACTTCCAGGCCCAACACCAAGAGCATGGGGGACCCCCACCGTGCTTCCCATGGGATGATCCATCCGCCCCACCATCTCAGCGTTCATAAGCCATGCCTGGTACCTCAAGGTACATAGAAAAAAAAACATATAAAGCTGTCTGTGGTCGAATCACTGATTCTCGAAATCAGCATCGAATCTTCAGATTCAGATCTGGCCAAATTGAATCAGAACAGTGATCCAAATCAGGACAGTGAGCTGAATAAGGAAATCAAATCACTGTCTCCCAAATCAGGCTGAATCTGAATCAAATACTGGCCGCTTCACGCACCCCTACTATCTGTCTGCAAGGGAAAGTAACAGGCAAACAATCAGCAAGCATTACATTAGGGAACTACAAATGTGTGGATCCCTTAGCCCAAAATGTTTCATGAGGGGGGGAGGGAGAGAAATCAAACAATGACAGAAAAAAAGCAAGAACATTATACAGATCTTTTGAAAGAACGCTGGAACAAAATAAACTGTATGTACTCTATTACCTCAAAAGTTTAAACACTCAACTATTTAGCCATTGTCCACTGTAGTATTTCAAGCCTGAGAGTTAAACCAGTAAACTAATCCTGTTTTCCTATCCTCCTGAAAACAGCTATTTCTAAAATTTTAAAATGTTTTCTTCAGAGACATTTTGACCCACATTCTATTCAAGTTCAGGGGTGGTCATTTTTTGCTCACACAATTGTATCATATAAAAAAAGATTAGATCAAATAAGTTAATTAACAGTTAGATGCTAATAAGAGTAATAACATTTACTAAATTTCATCCTCATGGATTAAAGAAGAACTTATATGGGAGTACAGATTGACAGGCTTGAGTGATTACTTTTACAGAATTATTTATCAACTATTACAGCAAGTTACCTTAGCTTATGTGGATTTTAAATAAGAACTAAATACAGGTATCAACCACACGCAAGTCTCTTCATTAATAATGCACAATATATTTACGTAACATGTCTCAAAAGAATACAAGATGGAAGATGATAAAGTGTTTTTACCTTTTAGAATTCTGACTAAGTTAAAAGAGTGGGAAATCATTTGCCTGGTGAACTTAATTATGTTAGGAACATAAATGGGTCCTGTGGCCACTTTCTTTTTTATAGCATCTTTTCTCCTCAAAACCTTTCATTAACATTTTGGCTCCATCCCGTTTTTCTACCATAGGTTTATTTTATGCAAGTCACCATTTACTTTGAATATTACTGAAACCTGTTTTATACTATATCATTTTTATCTGATGATTAGCTGTACTGCTTATACACTAGTAACTGAGACAATTTAGTTTATTGGAAAGCAGGAAGGTATCCTCAAAGGGTAGAGAAATATTAGTCCTGAGCCTGTTTGGTATTACTTACAGGTCTGTACTCTCTTCATCAACTAAAGCAGTTTACAAACATCCCCAGCAAAACCATTTCTAGAAAGATTTAAGAATCTTTCATAGTACTTAAAGCATGCTTCCTATAAGAAACTTTAAATTACTTTCAATAAGTACAGGTCAACAGACTAATTTCCCCAAAGCACGTCCCTGAAATCATTTCACCTTGCACAGAGCCACATTCTGTGAACCATTTCCTCCTATGCTGAGCTGAAATACTGTATGGTCATTAGTACCAAGTATCCCTATTCTCGCATTTTGCAGTAGTTCCTCCTCCCTGTAAGTAAATCCAATTATAAAGCCAATTTGTTTTTTCAAAAATCTAAAACCAGGCCTAGTCAAGATAATGGAGTCCCATTCCTTGCTTGGTGCCTCTAAACTGTTTCTGGAATGCAAATAATACATACTTAACTTGTAGCTGTTTTAATATTGAAGAAGCAGTGTATACTTATGCACTGGACAAAATTTAAGAATGTCTGTATGATCAAACAAAAGCAACAGCTCAGTTGCTTTCCTTAAATATCACAATCAAGTCCCTACGTAGAATTATAGGCAGCTGCAATAGTTCGTTTGTCACCAGAATCCCACAGAGTCACAGTAGCTGATAGAAACACATGGGTCCTAGTTGGCTTTGAAACATAAAAGGCTATGGCTATGTTAAAAACCACCATAACTGAAAAGTCACAAGTAACAAAAAAGGGATTTTAGGCACTTTTACCAGCGGTCATTTGAAGTAAAGAGTTTGTACACTAAGCATATGAATTGTCTAAATGCCAGCCAGAGTTATCAGACCAGACTGCAAGGAACATAGGTTGAATAAAAGCAACTACTGTACCCCCCCATAACATGACTGAAATAACTGTTTCAAAACACAAAAATCAACAAGACGGACTCCCATAAGTTCTAAAAATCACATGCTATTTGAATCACAAACTCCAATCAAGGGAGGAACGCAAGTTCAACACATCACTGAGTAGGGTAAAAAGTTTTAAATGACATACCTTTTCTCTCTGTTTTCTGTGAAGGGATGGAAGATGTGGGTGTAGGCAGTTTTGATAAAGTAGATGCTCCATTGGCATCAAAGGATTTCTTTGGCTGGTGATCAGATTGTAGAGAAAATGGACTAGGAGGAACAGTGCTTGGGGTAGCAGTTGGATGAACCACTGGTTTGATAGGATGTTGTACTGGAGTAGAACTACTGTGAGTCTCTGCTCGTGGCAGTCTGTAGTCTCTGTCATTGTGTCTGCTCGTTTGAGACAAAATATTCTGTGGGAGCATACTACTTGCGTCACTGGAATGCTTGTCTTCCACTTTTGTTCAGGATTCACAAAGTAATATTGCAATAAGAAAAAAAGATTTAAGTTAGAAACTTATCAAATAAAGCGACTATGATTATTTAGCAACATACCAATAATTACAGTTGACTGAACCTTATGCAAGTTTTATAAATCAACTACTAGCACTATGACTAAGAACACATTAGAAGACAAAATATAATTTCTCAGTGACAAAATGAACCCTCCAACATTTGAGGAACTTGGGCTGCTCTCGAGTTCCAATTAAGTTTGTATTTAGGGACAGACCATACTATAGCGAATGTTCTGGCTCATGGGTCAACAACCTACAACCCCCAAGACAGACCAGTCTGGAAAGGCACAGCTAATCAGGTGACATGCAGCTGAGCTGAGCCAAGCCACCTGTTCTCTCCAATCTCTTCTCCGCAGCTCCCTTAGGTGTGCTCTGGCCTGCGTTTACTGTGGCTATAGAGCCAGGTATTTCCAGCAATGAAACACAGGCAGCTTGAGCACTACAAAAGGTGAAGATTAGTGGCCTATGGTGGTAAAATGCTGTCAACTCCTGTTCTAGTTTAAGCAGTTTTTTAAAAGGTTCCTAATAATATCCAGACCAAAATGTAGTATTTGCGTATGCTATATTCAGTCTGAGGGACTAAAGTCAACAGTTCCAATAAAAAATGTTTATATTATACAATTGTCTTCTATGCACTATGTTTGCCTCGTGTTTAGCTTTTAATGCAAACAAATTTTGATTTTGTTTCCACAAAACCAAGAGGGGATGAAAGGCCAATTTCAAGACACGTGGCTAATGGCATACAAAATGTAATAGATTATTTAACATGTGATGCAATGCATGCCATTACACAGTTGTGACTTTGTGGTACTGTAGAGCATGACTGGCATACATAGAATGCTTTTTTCCTAATTTCTGGTTTCTCATCTACCATGCAGCCCCAACCATTAGCAATGTAGCAAACTGGCTGGAAATTCATAAAAAGAAACATTGACTGAAATATTCTATTTCTACAATGATTCTTCTTGAAACATGCATATCCTTAATTCAGTATGCTGGTCATCTCTATAAAAATGAATCAGTGAGAATAGTAAAGGCCTTTTCTAAGCTGCTGATTTTTCAAACAGTGAGAAATAAGTGAATGAAGCAAACTGCTAGGGTATTTTTAATTCTTCCAACTACTGTAAAAGTGTCCATACCAATTAAATGTATATGCACAAGCAAACTTGCAATACCACTAGGTAAAGAAAGATTAGCACCAGACCATAAAGCCAATTCAGCTAACATCACACTCTACAAAAATTCAGACAAAAACATATCAATCCCAGAAGTATGTCAACCATGTCTGAAGATAACATGAATTAAAAAATATATATATTTTAAAAGTATAGTACAGGACCCTGTGAGAGCTGCAAGTTATAAATAACTCCAAGGGTGAAATCAAGGTTTAAAGGAATCTCTGAGTCCCCCGTCTTTAATCTGAGACCATCACATATAGACAGTTCTCTCAGTGGTTATGAGAAGCTGGATAAGAAAGATTTTTTTAACTGTTACAGAAAAACATTTTATTCAAGCTATGGCACACTTATTAGCAGGCAATTAAAGATGATTGCAAAAATGGAACAGTAATATGATATAAAAGAATGAGCAAGTGCACCAACTTATACAGTACTATGATGAGGCAGCAAGATTTTTGGGAGATGTCTGTAGCTGAGTTTTCAGCAAGATGGATCTGAGCCACTTTGCCCCTCTGCTATAAAATATGCAGAAAGGGCAAAAGGATCGCTCTCAGTTTGGCAAAGAAAAATACGAAGGAAGTAAATAGTGTTCACAAAGCAAGAATATTTTACTGTAGAAAAACCACATACTTCCACCAGCAAACCCACTAGCAGCTGTTGCCTGCATCACCTCTCTTCTGTAATCCCTATCTTTTGGGAAACTGTTAACTGACATTTTGCTTGCTTCTTTTTGTCTCTGCTCTCTGTAGAAAAGAAACACAAAGGAAAATGAAGTAAGATAGTTTCGAGATCAAGTACTTTATTACAAATTAAAGCATATATGCACACACATACCTTTCAAGCCACTCTTTCGGTTTTTCCCATTGTGAAACTTCTGTTCGGCAGTTGTAGTAGTATTTTTTGCCTGAAGAACTGATGTGTTCAGACCAGTCATCTGCAGAATCGAAGGCCTTGAAAACACAAACAGCATTGGCAAAGAGTCTAGTAGTGTGAATTCAAATAAATTATGCAGATTACAATACATTTGAAGTTATAAGGTACAGGACCTTTTCATTCACATGCACTTCAAAACACAACCAACCTCCCTACAAAAGGGCTAAAATTTAATGCTCTTCCCATTTTGCAGTGCAATACTTTTGCCTCCCGTATAATACTGCAGCAGAGAAATACTACACTACAGCAGCTTCAAAAAATATACACCGCTTCTTTTATATCACCATCGCTGGTAAAATTACAGCACAAGTAAATCTGGCACAGTATTCATCAGAACACAACAACATTACTGTCTGCCAGAACATTTTCAGGATATCAGCAATTCTGGCTCTTAAACTTCTGTATACTCATAACCTCATCAAAATTTGAAATTCAAACCTTTAAGCTTGTTAATATTTTAGAGATTCCCCAATAGATTTAGAAAATATTAATATTTGAAGGATTTATTTATTTCTCCTATACACCAGAACATGTTTTAGTGCAGACCTGAGTTGCCATGTACAATGATCATGGAATTCAGGAAGTTCCTCAAGTTAACCAGTAAGAGGGTCAGATTGAAGCTCTACTACTGTTAGCCATGAGTAAAAAAAAACCCCAAAAACAGAGGTTTGGGAAATTATCAGTTTCATGTTAGGGAAGCGAGGCAGAGTAAAATCCCTGCCCAAACTGTATTTAAAAACTCTCTCAATAGCCGTGTTTCTTTTTTTTTTTTTTTTTTTTTTTTTTAAATCAAACTTATCAAATGTCTGCATTGCAAGGCAGGTGAATCTGAAAAGTCTAAATACAATCAGCTACACCAAAACATATCTTGCAACACATGTAAATAATTTGTAATTCTCTTCCATCTACAATTATGATCACTTTGCAGGCCCTACTAATTCAATAAAATTTGCAAAAATGCACCTCTGATGATTTCATCTGAAGTACTGAAAATACTGCTTGTATAAAACTACATAAGGCAAGTTTGAATACTTATCAAAAATACTTACTGCATCTGAAGTTTTGCTTGGATTATTGCTAGGATTAGAAGAATGTGAATTTGAGCTATGAAGAGCACTGTGGTTATGTGAATTTTCTTGTGGAGAGTAACTGGTCCCTAAAAACAGAAAAATTCACTGTAAATACCTCATGCAAATTAATCATACCTGTATCAAAAGTATCAGTGTTTAATTAAAAAAAACTAATACTTAATCTCAGTCTTCCTTAATGCTGGTATAGTAGGAACACTTTGCTGCAGATTGAGCGAGTGAAAGTTTAAAGACTTGTGCAATTTTCATTTACAAATAAGGCAAAAATATCTCCCATATTCTTAATTTATGGTTACATTATTAGTAGAGGATCTGCACATAACATGCAATTCAAATATTTTGAGTTTTCTGCAACACAAACTTAGGTGTACACTACAGACTTGCCAGGATAGCTACGTCAAGGAGAGGGAGAGAATCCTTACATGACACAGTTGTCACTAGAGAAAGAGAAATTTTCCCCAAGACAGCACTTTTGCTTGGGGAAGGGAATGATTTTACTATACAGGAGCAGTGTTACTTGGCTGACGGCTACATCCATACCAGGAGGTCACAAGCTGGCAGAGGGTAGATTTAGGCTAGATATCAGGAGGCGCTACTTCACGCTCAGGACAGCTAGGATCTGGAACCAACTTCCAAGAGAAGTGGTGCTGGCTCCTACCCTGGGGGTCTTGAAGAGGAGGCTAGATGGACACCTTGCTGGGGTCGTTTGACCCCAGTACTCTTTCCTGCCATGGCAGGGGGGTCGAACTAGATGATCTACTCAGGTCCCTTCCAACCCTAGAAACTGTATGAATATTCCTGTATCAGTGTTCCTAAACAAGGCCTAAATTTAGGGACTTTAACCAGATTGCAGCAATAATTTAAGACGACCACAAAATCAAGAGATAACTGATTTAAGTCTAGAATTAATTTACATTTTTCCATCTATTTTGATCAAGCAGGGCTATTTGAGGTCACTTTGCCAAGTATAACGAACGGGAAAAGCCAAGATCAGTATATGGTGGAGGAATATAATACAAAAATATACTTAAAAGTGAAGGAAAGATCTTGCTGCTCAGTTTACAACTAATTTTAGTTTTCCTACTTGCCATCTCTACAATTTGAGTCCAAAATTTGAAAATAAAGAATAGTTCTAACTGTACATCATGACTAAAAGATTACAACAGTAAAGGTACTGCAGATGACTGAGCCTCTCTGTTATTTAACCCTATTTTTCCCCCAAATGATGCACAAAAAAAGGGGGCAGGGCTTGGGGGTGGGGTAAAAAACAAACAAAAAAAACCCAAACAAGCGATATCATCAACAGCAATAAAACAGGAAGATATGGAAAGACTAGATACTAAGGTGCATAGGAAAGGGCAGATGGGTAATGTGGGAAGAGACCAGGTAGCTGACAGACAAGTATTTCAATAATGGAGTATTAAAAATGTGGATTGCTTGGTGAAGGTTGAATTAAGGGGGTCATTTAGAAAGCTGAACCAAGGGCAAACCAGAGTGAAGGTGAGCAGACCGAGAGCCAAGGGATAGGATGAATATTAATACGGAAGCTGAAGAATGAAGTATAGGGGTGTGACAATATCATGAGCCTTTGAACAGGGCTGGAATAAGTCTAAATAATAACAGAAGCAGTGATTGAAAAGCAGGCAAGAAAGATCTGGCTATGCAGTAATGACACGGAGTGAGAGAGAAGCCAGATGATGTGCTGTTGAAATGAAGAGTGCTGGAAAGGAGGAACTGGAAAGAGTTTGGAAGCAGCAGAAGTCTAATGTCTCTTCTACTCTCTCGTTATGAACAGTACTTTAGGGAAGTGGAAACAGGAGTTATCCTCAAGCATGGACGTCACTAGCAAGAATGAACTACCAGCTATCTGGAAAGGAACCTTTTGGGGGGCAAATGTCTACATTACGCAGGGAAAAAAGGGAACCGAGCAAAACATGAAGGACAGCACAGGGAAAGGGAATCCAGGCAGTTACATACAACTGCAAATGGAGGGAAAAAACTGCAATGGTCATCCAGGCACTGCACGCAAAAGTAGTAGAGAAGCAAAAGAAAACAAATCTAACAACTATTTCTAAGTTTTTTGTGGGGTTTTTTGTGTTTTGTTTTGTTTTTTTTTTTAAACAGGTCCCAAAAGGGTAATGAAGGATCAGGAATTCAGTGTAAAAGGAAGGCCTGCACCGTCTATCATACTGAACTTGGAGAAGCTGCCTTCTTGCAACCCATACTTGAAGAAGACTCTTCTTAAAGAGATCTTTCCAGAACCACCCACCCTAGCCTTTGAGGTTCGGGGCTTGTTTAATCTCATTACCAGAAGCAAACTTCCTATGACCCAAACCACACAAAATGGATGCAGCCCATGTCAAGACAAAACATGTAAAACCTGCCAACACATCTCCACCACTCCCACAATAACTACACCCCATAACTGATCCATCACCATTCCTGGATCTTACACTTGCACCTCCAGAAATGTTATCCATCTCAGCCAGTGTACCAAATGCCCTTAAGGAAAATACGTAGGAGAAACAAAACAACAACTATGTACCAGAATGAACACACCAAAAACCCAAAGACAAACATATCCAATTACTTGTGGGTGCCCACTTCTCACAAGACAAACCCTCCCCAATCTCACAGTCGTATCCTCAAAGGAAACTTACAAAACACCTTTTGTAGATGAGCCTACGAACTTCACTTAATAAATCTACTGAATACAAAAAATCATGGATTTGGCATAGATACTGTATTTATAACACATTACAACCTGCCTGACATCTGACACACCAGGTAACCTGTCTCAAGTTAACCACTTGCATTCCTTCACACAATTCCTCCCCTCCCTCTTCCCTCCCACTCTTAACAAACAATGATCACAACAGAGATAAGTGGCCATGTTCGCCAATCAGAAAAGTTATACAAAGTTATGTAACGGTTGCTAGGCAGACGATAGTTGCCTTTCTGCCATGAGTGTAAAAGATAGACAGCAGCTAGAACTTTCTACAAGGCGGGATCCAGCGTCAGTCAGTCAGTGCCATGGGCCTATCGAAAGGTGCCTCACACAATCACAACACCGCATGTCACCCAAGCTATAAAAGGAGCCCCCACCTGATCACCAGGGTCCCTTCTGCATCCAATGGACTCGGAACGACTCACGGCATATTATTACGGACACGGCTCGGCCTTCGGAGTAGCTAACCAGAGGACGCAGAGACCCGCCTGATCCCGGCGACCTGAAACCCCTGAGACAACTCACCAGCCAGATCCATCGGTCTCACGCACCATTAGGGAGCGAGGCGTGGTGAGTGAGTTTAAGCTGCTGCGCAGCTACGTTAACAGTTATCAATAAAGATCACCAAGCCTGTTCACTGTCTTCCCAACTCCTCGCGATCTGTGGTAAGACCGACCAAGAAAAGATCCTGTCACAATCTCTACCCATCATCTTCCAAACTTCCGCTCACTAGCATTTTCACAGGCTTATACACACACACACACACACACACACACACACACTTTAGCTTCTTTTCTACCTTGGAGAACACAACAGCGGCAGAATCAATGCCTGAAGAAGGGTGTTTGTGCCCAAAAGCTTGCAAAGAATTTTTTTCCAACTGTTTCGTTGGTCTAATAAAAGATATCACATCTACCCAAAGAACCCTGCCTGCCTCAACACTACTCTCTACTTACAGGCCAAGGACATTACCCTTAGTGACTAACTCAACCATACCCAAATTTAACTGCAAATCAGGGTGAAACCAGAATTCGACAAATCTAATAGAAAAGCTGTAACTTTGAAATTTGCTAACATGCTGAACACACGCACAACATAACATGGCATGGAAGCACTTTCCATAGACTGGAACTTAAATCACATACTAGTATTGCCAATTTAAGGTAATGTAATTTAGTGTTCTATTGCCCAGAATATCTTGTTGCCTAATGGTATTTGTTTTCCTGTTCTAACAATCAATGTAAGAGGTGTGCTAATTATACAAAATCTTTTGTACAGCATTCTTCACAAACAATTGCAAAGAAGTTCTCATATGTACTAAAATTATTTTTTGCCTTCAATAAACACTTTAAATGTCTTATGGCTTTTCATTTCCTGTAAACTGAAATATTTTATTTATAAGATTTACTTGATTTTATTTTTCCCATTTCATGCTAGATATGTTCACATAAAACATGCTTTGTTCCCACTCCTCTTGATTTAACAGAGGCAAAGTTCCTCATCTCAGCAAAATCACACTAACATTGACTAGACCTTTTTCATATTCTTTCACATACTGAGAAAAAGCAGTCTTTAAACACTCATGAACACTAAATCCCAAAGTCCAACTGTATTAACTGCCTGTGCTACATTCTTATCAACACCAGAAAGCTACACAATGCTTTGCAAATGATATTTACAGTAGGTATTTAATGAGCTCAATTTTCTGAGCACTTTCTATTAAAGAAAAGGAAGCGTCTGATATCTAATAGCTAAGGCTGAACAGAACTATTGTAAAAAAAAAATAAAAAACTCAAAGTGCTCTAAAATCTACATGCATACTCAGATCGACCAAAATTCCCAGGCCAAATAAGAGCTTGTGGTATAGCCCTATCAATCTGGTTTAAGGATTCCCACGGTATATTTCCCCCACGGTGACTGTTTTCAGAATTTAGGCCCCCTCTACACACAAATATTGTGCAATTAGCAGGTTAATCCCATAATCAACTGAACAAGCTACACATGCAAAGCACTTGTCACATAAAAAGGTCCAACCTGCTATCATGTTAGATCTCAAAAATGTGTATTGACTTTATAGCTGGTTGGTACCCCAGCTTTAATCAACCCAGGTAGCAGGGTCACCCCTGCTGCTGGGAGCCCCGTCAGCTGATTACGCTCCCAGCCACAGTGGAGTGGAGGGGAGAACAGGACAGGGGGGAACAGCAGACAGACACTGAGGGGACTCTCAGCCCTGGCAGCTGCAGATGCTGGGTCCCAGCAGCCTCTATCTCCCAGCCTTCGGGGCTTCACACACCCCAAAATCTGGGAAACTGCAGCAGCAGTGGTCTCCTAGCTCTGGGG